AGATGAAAGTTGCGTGTATGCGCGTCTGTGCGTTTCTCTTTTTAGAGTGAGTTTACTTAAAGGGGTCATATGATGGGTTTTCAAGTTTTCCTTTCTCTTTGGAGTGTTACAGTGATTGGTTTCAAGGGACAAGGGGAAGGGGTATAAAATAGAATTGGGATTGGGCCTTACTTTTACCAATGCTTTTTTTTTCATAAGTCACTCAGAATACTAAATTTAATTGATAAGATTAAACAAGATACAGATAAACGAAGCAGTTACTGAAGATATCAAATATCTTAAGTCCTTTAAGAATAGTAACTGAATGATGGAAAATGACACTTTTTATAAATTAGGCTACTACATTTGTTTTGACTATTTCATATAATAATTATTCATTTTAAACTATATATGTCATATTTTCACTGGTTTTCACCAATTTTTTTTTTTACTTTTATTTTAATTTACAAAGTGAAATACAATTTTAATTCCTTGTCACAGTTACCTTTATGATATCACCCCAATGCATTTTTTACAATTTGGACATTTTCATTTAGGGGTGTACTCACTTTTGTGGCCAGCGGTTTAGACATTAATGGCTGTGTGTTGAGTTATTTTGAGGGGACAGCAAATTTACACTGTTATACAAGCTGTACACTCACTACTTTACATTGTAGCAAAGTGTCATTTCTTCAGTGTTGTCACATGAAAAGATATAATAAAATATTTACAAAAATGTGAGGGGTGTACTCGCTTCTGTGAGATACTGTATTTACAATATATTTGTCCTGGCCCTTATTTTTTTTTTTACTCTCTCATTTCAAACTGCTTTCAAACATTTGGGAAGAAAATGATGTGCTTTGTGCATAATATGTTCTCTTTTGAAATCAACCAGATAATAATAATAAGCTGCAGTGTGGATCAGATAAGCTGACGGTCTCGATCTGTGTGTGTTTGTGTGACAGAGGATCCGGTCAACGGTAGACGAGCGAGAACAGAAGCAGCTGCTGATGGATCTGGATGTGGTCATGAGGAGCAGCGACTGTCCCTACATCGTCCAGTTTTACGGGGCTCTTTTCAGAGAGGTTTGTCCGTTTGGTCTGCTTACCGCCTCATGCTTTCTGAGAGAGTCTTTCCTCTCAAGACGCTTGTTCTGTCTTTGTCTTTCTCAGGGGGATTGCTGGATATGCATGGAGCTCATGTCTATCTCCTTCGACAAATTCTACAAATACGTTTATTCCTCTTTAGACGAAGTGATTCCAGAGGAAATTTTAGGGAAAATAACATTAGTTGTGAGTTTTCATTCATTTAATCCACTTTGGCATTGATTAAGTGATGCGTTCGTTAACGTTCATTAAAATGCTGTGTTCTTCTGTGTCGTTTCAGACTGTGAAAGCACTTAACCACTTAAAAGAAAACTTGAAAATTATTCACAGAGGTAAGAGAAGCAGAATGATGAAGTTTCTCATTTCTGACCTCTATCAGTTTGTTTTTGTTGTTTTACTCAGACTGAAGCTCTTTCTCTCTGCAGACATAAAGCCATCAAATATTCTCCTGGACAGGAAAGGCAACATTAAGCTGTGTGATTTCGGCATCAGTGGACAGCTGGTCGACTCCATCGCCAAAACCAGAGACGCAGGCTGCAGACCGTATATGGCAGTAAGATTTATTCATTTATAGATTCATTACCACTACGGTTGAGGTTGGTAAGATTTTGAAATGTTTTTGAACAGAAGAAAGTCTCTTCTGCTGCTCACTAAGGCTGCATTTATTTGACCAAAATACAGTAAAAACAGTCGTATTTTTAGATGTAATGTATTCCTGTGATCAAAGCTGAATTTTCAGCATCATTACTCCAGTCTTCAGTGTCACATGATCCTTCAGAAATCATTCTAATATGATGATTTGATGCTCTAGAAACATTTCTGATTATTATCAATGTTGTATTTTCAGCATCATTCCTCCAGTCTTCAGTGTCACACAATCCTTCAGAAATCATTCTAATATGCTGATTAGCATATTATTATCAATGTTGAAAACAATTGTGCTGCTTCATATTTTTGTGGAAACTTTGATACACAATTGATACGTATTGATATGGTACGAACTTTGATGTGACTTTTTTGTCCAGGATTATTTGATGAATAGAAATTTCAAAAGAAAAGCATTTAAAATCTTTTGTAAGATTATGAATGCCTTTACGGTCAGTTTTGATTAATTCAATGTGCTGCTGAAAAAAAAATAGAATAAAATAAAGTAAATGTTATTACATTTATTTATTTATTATTTATTTAAAGATGCCACTGCTATTGGGGTCATTTTTTGTAAAAAAAATAAATAAATAATAATAATAAAAAAAAAAATAATAATTTGAACATTAAAAACTGTGCGTTTTTATATATATATATGTATATATATATATATATATATATATATGTACATGCATGTATATGTATATATGTGACCCTGGACCACAAAACCAATCATAAGGGTCAATTTCTCGAAATTGAGATTTATACATCACCTGAAAGCTGAATAAATAAGCTTTCCATTGATTATTATGGTTTGTTAGGATAGGACAATATTTGGCCGAGATACAACTATTTGAAAATCTGTAATCTGAAAGTGCAAAAAAAATCAAAATATTGAGGAAAATCACCTTTAAAGTTGTCCAAATTAATTTCAATGCATATTACTAATCAAAAATTAAGTTTTTAAGTAATTTCCTGTCATCCTTTCTGAAGCTGAGCGTGTGTGCGCGTGCTGTAGAGTGATGTAACTGCAGGAGTGTCCATGAATGAAGCTTAGCTCTGCAGTGGCTCTGCTGCTGATGATATCATGCTCTAATCTGCGCCGTGATCTCATCATCATCATCATCATCATCCCCAGAGTCTCCTCACTGCATTATGACATCATCAGTCTGTCAGCATCAGTGACATCAGTGTGTTGACTGACATGCACAGCTGTTATTATGTGACACACACACTCTGCTGCTGTCTGGTCGGAAGTGTGTGCCGGGAGCACATCTGTTTTTGTGGTGTTTGGGCCTGTAAAGCAGCTGGATCAGACACAGACAGTCTGATGTGCTGGAAAAGCACTCCGCTGCACTCTCTCAGTTCACTCTTATGTGTTCATCTAGAAGTGTGTGTGTCCTGAGAAATGAACCCATGATCTCAGCTTTTCTACATCTATACTAGTTGCAACAGCATTTTCAGCACAATTAACCTCAGAAATCATGTATTTCTGAGTAAATTAGAATATTCATAGGACGGGACTTTATATGTCAGGAGAATGCCGTTTTCTCTGCCAGTGTTTCAGCAGAAAAAGAACATGCCGTGCCAAAAATGCATCAAAATGTAAGAAATTAAATAGTCAGTTTCAACAATGAAACATTTAATCTCAACAGTGTGAGGTATTTCTGATTGAAACAGAAAAACAAAAATCAGAAATGGAGGAAGTTTTTATTTTTTTTAAATAAAATGAACATCTAATATAAATATTTAATTAATAAAATAATTAATAATACTATATTTTTGTTTAGAATAACGCACTAATGATTCATGCTAAAATAATAGCAGCAAAAAATAATGTGAACTTTGTCATAAAACATGAGACATTCACAGTAAAACGGAATATTCTTGATTTTTATATTATTTTAAAAATGTTTAATTTTATCAATCCAAACAAAACAATATTATTGCTTAAAATAGTTTTTCTTGACTGTGTTTCAGCAGACAAATTGATTCCAAACATGAAGTAAATTTATTATTTTTATTAATAAAAAACAACAATGCATAATAACTGCGATTAATTGCAATTAATTGCACCTAAAATAAAAGCTTTTGTTTACATAATATATGTGTGTGTACTGTGTATATTTATTATGCATATATAAATACACACACACATGCATATATTTAAAAAACATTATTTATATTTTATATAAATATAATTTTATATAAAAATGTAACATTTTTCTTAAATATATACATGCAAGTGTTTATATACACATAAATATACATATTACACACATATTATGTAAACAAAAACGTATTTTGGATGTGATTAATCGTTTGACAGTATTAAATAATAATAATAATAATAATAATGATTGTTCTTTAGAATTACATGCACACTTTGTGCCAAATTAACAGCTGCAAAATTTGATTACTTTACTTGTAAGTAATTGAGTTTTGCTGTCACGTCTGGAGTCTTTCTGTATGATTGACTCTGCGTGTTTGTGTGTGTTTGTCCCTCAGCCGGAGAGGATAGACCCCAGCGCTTCCAGACAGGGTTACGATGTCCGCTCAGATGTCTGGAGTTTGGGAATCACACTGGTGAGGATGATGATCTGTCATGTGATCGTCTGTGTGTGTGGTACTGAAAGTGATTTCTGTGTGCGTTTGATGTGTTAAACTGCTGTTTCAGTATGAACTGGCCACGGGACGGTTCCCCTACCCGAAGTGGAACAGTGTGTTCGATCAGCTGACGCAGGTGGTGAAGGGCGACCCGCCGCAGCTCAGCTGCTCAGAGGAGAGACAGTTCTCCCCCAAATTCATCAACTTCGTCAACCTGTGGTGAGACACACACACACACACACACACACACACACATGATCGCAGTCACACTGCGATCTCCAGCGTTTCCTCTTTCTCAGAGTTTGCTGACTCCGCAGACGGGATGTAATAACTCCGGTTTACTGTGCGATCACATGATGCACACGACGCCTCCTGCTGCTCATTCACAGCAACTGCAAGAGCTCAAGATTGAGTTTATGATTCATTTGACCCTCAAGGGCTTGAATTAAATCTTTTTTTGTTTCTAACAGCCTTACAAAGGACGAGTCAAAAAGGCCAAAGTACAAAGAGCTTCTGGTGAGTTCCTGTTTCCTGCTGAAAGCCACTTTTTGACATGACATAGTTTTCATTTTATTTTATCCTGATCTTGGAAATTATGCCATAAGTGGTTTAATTGGCTAGAAATTGGTGTTTATATGAGTTTATTTTCCCAAGTCCTCATCCAAATAAAAAGCCAAGGAAATTCATTTGTCAAAAGGTGGAGAAACCCTGGATATGGCTATATAGTGTTTTAAACAGCATTTTTGTAATTCAATTAAATTAAATTTAATTGTTGTTGTTGGTGTAGCTGTTTTATTAATAATTTTTTTTTTGTTTAGAATAATATTCATTAATGATTTGAGCCAACATAAGAACAGCAAAAAAGTATTCTTAAAGTATTCTTATTCTTATTAATAAGAATAGTTATTATTATTATATAATGTCATGTTATTTAAGAGATCACATTTAAAAAATATTTGAATTTAATTTGTCACACTATGATGGACTATTTATTTAAAATCTGCCAAAAAATACATATGTGTATGTCCACTATCCTAAAGCATCTAATTAATATTCTTTAATATTTATATATTTGTATATTGTATGTTTTTTTTTAAAGAGTGGTGACCTTTTAAAATAATACAATTCTATAATTCCAGAATGAATTTTCCAGTATTTATTTATTTAGTTATATTTATTATTATTAACAAATACAAATAGCAATTTCTTAGCAGTCTCTACCTAATAAATTTAAGATTTTAACATATTTAGAAAAATGTACATTCATCATAGAAAATTTCATGACCTATATTTTATTAATTTTAGTGACTTTTCCAGGTCTAGAAAAATCATACCCTAATTTATCCAAGTCTTATTTTCAAGATTCTGGGAATCCTGGCTCTTAAATAAACACGACAGCTGTTGAGACAACAAAACCTAATAACTATGATGTCAGTTTATGTATATTTTTAGGTGTTTTAGCTGATTTCAAAAAATATATTTGATCTTATTTGAAAACATTTTAAGCCATATTTAATGCTTCAGATGTGATAAAAGTAGTGGTCGACCGATATCGCCAAGGCCGATATATCGGCCGATATTTGGCATTTTTCAAATATCGGCATCGGCCGATAAGTTTTTCTGTTTGGCCGATGTGTTCGAGGCGGGACTTTTATTTTGACGGCGCTGAGAATGGCAGCGCCTGAACACACAGTGCTCACATTCTCTCTCTTGTTTACTGTCGTTGTTAACAGTTCTGTCTAATACGGATAGAAGTCTGTTTAATAGTCAGATTATTACTTCCTTTTCAATTATATTTTTATTAAATATTTATTTATTTGTGAAAAATACTTTATCATCTAAAGCAGCGGTTCTCAATTCCAGTCCTCGGACTGGAATTGAGAACCGCTGATCTAAAGTATAAGTATGTTTATTTTACACATTTATTTTTTAATCCATTGTCAAATGATTTCAGATTTCTTAAATATTAATTAAAATTAAAAACATATTATATCGGCTTTATATCGGCTATCGCCCCCCCGCCTGCTTTCCAAGATATCGGCATCGGCTGTCAAAAAACCAATATCGGTCGACCACTAGATAAAAGCACAATTCATTTGAGATGTGCATTACAAAGGATACGAAACTCTCAAGAAGACTAAAGCGGAAGTGCTGTTGAGTGAAAGAAATGAAAGTAAACCAGACTTCTCTCTCCTCTCTCTGTCTCTCAGAAACATCCCTTCATTCAGATTTACGAGGAGCGTACGGTAGACGTGGCCAGCTATGTCTGCATGATCCTGGATCAGATGCCCGCGTCTCCCAGCTCCCCCATGTACGTGGACTGATGCGTGGGTTTAAACACAGAACGGCAGTATTAAAACAGGAAACCGTACACGAGAGCGGCACAGCGGCGTTCAGTTCAAGCTCGACTGTAAAATACCTCCTTCCCACGTCTCTCTCTCTCTCTCTTACTGTCGCTCTCACATCACACACACACACACACACACACATATATACACATACATCTGTAAAGTGCAAACACACACGTGTCTGACGGCAGTCTGATCTCTCGCGGATGCGGAATAGTGATTTTAAACCGATATGAAATAATGAAATAATAATTAAGCCTGGAAATTGTATTTATACTTCTGAAATGACTTGTGGAATATTTGATTCGGAAAGCCTTCGACGTACTGGAACCCTGCTTGTGTCTCGTCCCTCCTCTTCATGTATGTGATATTAAACATGTGTTTTGTATGTAAAGGTGAATGATGATGCAGAGGTGGCCGGGGTTTCTGTAATCCTCACTGTACAACGACTATGTGCTGATATTATAAATAAAACTGAGGAATATGGAAACGACTCCGTGTTTGGTGCTTTGTAAAATGTAGCGAATCTTATTATCAAATAATTTTATATTTGATATAATGACTCTATATGTTGTTTATTTACTGCATAGAAGTTTTTACATATTAATATGACCATTCACTATTAATATGAATAATCAATTAATAATTTACAATGTAATTATTTAGTTTATATCACATTTTATATGACAGATTTTTGTTTTTTTATATTTGTAATGTAATATAGATAAATTATTAAATATCTAATTATAAATAATGATAATATGAATATTGTTTTAATTGTTTATAATATTACATATTTTTAATATATAATTTCATTAATATTTTGAATCAAAAATATGCTATTTAATGTATTTTTGATGTAATGCACTTTAATATATTTTAATATAATGCAGTTATTTTTGTTTTACAATTTAATTATTCCATTTTATAATATCACAGATTTTTTATATTACAGAACTTTATTTTTTATTATTTGTAATGTATATAATGTGTGTCATATAAATAATGATTAAAAACATGGTATTATTAAAAACAATGGTGATAATATGAATACTATTTTTAATTCATGAAATTTTACTTTTTATAAAATTACAGATTGTTTTAAATATATAATTTCGTTTACACTATTTTGGATCAAAAATACATTATTTAATGATTTAAAAATTATATTTTTTCTTTGATACACAAATAGCTTTTTTTCTCCTCCAGAGGGCACCTGTCAGCTCAGAAAGCTGATTTTCCCTTGATTTTTTTTCATTTTACTGCAGAGATTTGCTCACTTTAAAGTATTATCGTTCAAATTTAATTAAAAATCCCGGACTGATAAGTAAAATACAGATGAGAGAGCACTACAGCAGTGACCATTAAACAATCGTTTATATATCGTTTCACAGCAATCGCGAACGACTGTGGTTGGTCCATTCTGACCAGCGCTGAGAAAAGTAACAGATATAGATGACAGCGCTGCCAATTGCGTGATACGTTTCTCAGCGCTGGTCAGAATGGACCAACCACAGTCGTTCGAATCGAATTGAACTCATTTGGGATTGCTGATTTCACATCTGAATAAACACACTGGTGAACGTTAATAGACATTTTAATTAAAAATACGCAGTGAAGAGTTAAAATAGAAGAATTATCATACCTGTCTACCTTTCAGGGCTTCTACGCCTATTTTAGCCATTTTATTAGAGCCATACAACCATTTTAACATGTAGTTATATTATATTATATCGAACTGTAAATATTTATGCGCCATTCTAGCTAGGTCTATTTCTACGTGCGTCAAGCGTCATCATCATGCGTCGGAAGCGCGTCCAGCGTCAACACGTGAGTCCTCCAAACTGCACAAACTAACAGCACATCGGCTGTGATATTTGTGTTTATCGAGCAGAAGTCGCGGGCGATGAGCCGCTCGTTCGTAGCCGCTGCGCGTTGAGTAACGTTATGCTCGCGCGTCTCTCCGCACTCGGAGCGCTGGGAGTGTGGAAAGAGCCTGTGCTGCAGGGAGCCGTCAGACTGATGCAGACCCAGTCCTCCAGGAAGAGCAGAGCTGTCAGAGACACCCTGCGCCATGTGAAGGTGAAGGAGAGCCGCAGGCAGGGCGAGCTGCACGGGCCCTCCACCGTCTATGTGCAGGTGTTGGGCGCCGGGAGCAGAGACAATGGAGCCTCGCTGTATGTCTTCTCCGAGTATAACAGGTGCGCGCTGATCCTCACTCAGTATCACAGTGACATCTGTGATATATTACACGTTATAACAGCCTTCACCAATAATCACGATTAGGTTTAATGCATAAGTAGTTGATGTTGAGCAAAGTATGGAAATGTGTGAAGAGTTCAATGACATGTCAACTTATTTAAACACATTATAATGTTAATTACTTACTTAATAATAATAAATGTAATAAAAATATAGGTAAATATTCGTAATAAGACTAATAACATTAAGAAACTATCACATTATGCAGTGCTAACAAACCAGTAGTATATAAACAAAAGTATGCATTTATAAATACTGGGGGTAAGCAGATAAACATCACATTTTCATTTTTGGGTGAACTCTCCCTTTAATAGTGCTGTCAAACGATTAATTGCATCCAAAATAATAGTTTTTGTTTACATAATATATCTGTGTGTACCGTGTCAACTTACTATGTATATATAAATACAAACACATGCATGTATGTATTTAAGAAAAATATGTAATGTTTATATATTTGATTATTATTTGACTTTATTTGAATGTGTGTGTAAATTTTTTGACTGTTTATTTGATTATTTATATAAACATTTAACTTTCATTTGAAAACAAAAAAATATTTTCAAACACACACACACAAATAAAAATATCTTGCAACTTTAATTCATACATGTGTTTGCCTTAGATAAAAGCAGTATACATAATTTTTGGTGAATTATTAATGAATAAATAATTGAGTAAATTGATTATGCATTGTTACTAATAAATAAACAAATATAGAACATTAAATGCTTAATAATAATAATAATTAATAATAACAATAATAATAGTAATAATGCTGTATAAAATTAATAATAGTGCAAATATTATGACATTATGTAATGCTTAACAAATCAGTACTTTATAAACAGAGATATGCATTATTTACTTTATATAAAATATAAAGTTTATATTCTTTATATACGTTCATAAAAATAAATCAAACTTATGAACATATGATTTGAAATGTATAATGATACTTAAAAATAATTTACTGCTAAACTTTATATAATATAATAATGCGAGTATGTTAGTTGAGGAATGATTTTAAATATTTTTTACAAAATCTCAGTGCTAGCTAGTAGCTGTAAATTATATATCATCAAATTTATTTGATTATTATTTAACTTTATTTGAATTTATAAAATCGCCTACTATATCTTTTATTTAAAAACAAAACATTTATAAAAATTCTCATTGTTAAGAGATCAGTAATGAAAGATCACAATAAAATGGCATGAAATTCTTGATTCATACATTTATCTCTCTTTGCTGAAAGCATCTGTTTAATGAATATATAAATGCATTTCTATACTTCCGTATATATTCCTATTTGAATATGCATGAACCACTGACTGTCTAAGCAGTATATAATGCTTGTTTATAAAAGTGATTCGACAATGTTAGCAGCATGTCTTTCATATGCAGGTATCTGTTTAACTGTGGTGAAGGAACACAGAGACTGATGCAGGAACACAAGTAAGAGATAAACTTAACACTGTTTTGCTCCTTGACATCTTATAAAGATCTGATCAAACTGTGCTTATTAATTACTGCAGATTGTAAAATGTTTTTCAACTGTTACTTGTGATCGTCAGAGTTTGCAGTGTCCACTGCAGTCATCTGAGACATGTGTGTGTGTGTGTGTGTGTGTGTGTGTGTGTGTCTTGTTTGTATCCAGAATAAAAATTGCACGCTTGGACAACATCTTCCTCACCAGAATGAGCTGGGAGACGGCCGGTGGTTTATCAGGTCAGACTGGGACTTTTTTCTGTTGCATTTGAAGCTTTTTCGGCACAAGTAATGCCTCTTTCATGGCTGCTTATGAAGCCGATTGAAAACTTTTCTCTCTGATTTGCAATTATTCACAGTCCATGTTTCCTCACATGATTAGACACTGTGGTTGTTTGCTCTGTTCACTGTGTGATGGGTTCGTTTTGTGTGTACAGGGATGATCCTGACCCTCAAAGACACTGGAGTCCCTCAGTGTGTCCTGTCAGGACCCCCGCAGCTGGTGCTGTCTGTTAACATTACACATGTGCATTTTATGCAGATCTTTGTGTCTTTCTCACTACAAAAAAAATCAAAGAGTTTGGAGACTTTTGTTAGTTTTCTTGTAGTGTTTCACTGAATTGTGTTTTGTTGTTTTAGGAGAAATATTTACAAGCCATACGAGTGTTTTCAGGACAGCTGGAAGACATTAAACTTGGTAAAGCCCACCATTATCCTCTCATATGGATTACATGCAGTGTTATTATTGTTTACTAAAACAAACACTAAATCTATTAGAAATCATTTTTGTTAATTGTAATAAATGTGAACTAAATAAGATACCATATATTAGATGAAAAACATAAACTAAGCAAACTTAAGCTAACATTAAAACTAAACCTTAACTCAACTCAATGTAAATTAACTCGGCTCAGCTCAACTAAACTTAACTAAGCTAAATTAAACGTACTTAATTTCAGCTCAGCGCAACTCGTCATAAACATATCTCAACTCAATTTAAATGAAACTTAACTGAACTTGACTAAAATTAACTCAATTTAAATTTAGCTCAGCTAAACTTAACTAAGCTAAATTAAACATACTTAAATTCAACTCAGCGCAACTCATAATAAACATCTCAACTCAATTTAAATGAAACTTAACTGAATTTGACTAAAATTAACTCAATTTAAATTGAGCTCAGCTCAACTTAACTAAGCTAAATTAAACATACTTAAATTCAACTCAGCGCAACTCATCATAAACATATCTCAACTCAATTTAAATGAAACTTAACTGAATTTGACTAAAATTAACTCAATTTAAATTGAGCTCAGCTCAACTTAACTAAGCTAAATTAAACACTTAAATTCAGCTCAGCGCAACTCGTCATAAACATATCTCAACTCAATTTAAATGAAACTTAACTGAATTTGACTAAAATTAACTCAATTTAAATTGAGCTCAGCTCAACTTAACTAAGCTAAATTAAACATACTTAAATTCAACTCAGCGCAACTCATCATAAACATCTCAACTCAATTTAAATGAAACTTAACTGAACTTGACTAAAATTAACTCAATTTAAATTGAGCTCAGCTCAACTTAACTAAGCTAAATTAAACATACTTAAATTCAACTCAGCGCAACTCATCATAAACATCTCAACTCAATTTAAATGAAACTTAACTGAACTTGACTAAAATTAACTCAATTAAAATTAAACAATTCAGCTTAATTTAAATTAAATTTAACTTT